CGCCCTCTGTTGTCCTTTGAGGGTCAGTTCGTAGATGATGTGATGTCTGTTTGAGTTTGTCCTTTCTCGTTTTCGTGCCTGATGTCTATTTGCTTACCGTAAACCATAACGCCCTCTGTTTCTTCTGACCTGTACTTTGTCTATTTTGCTCTGACCTTTGATTTATTCTTTGTTAATTGGTCCTTTCTTCTGGGTACTTTGTCTATTTTGCTCTGTCCTTTGTTTGTTTGTATGCTTCTTTGTTTGTTTGTATGCATCTTTGTTTGTTTTTGTGACTGTTGATATTGGCCCCTTTAGCCGCCCATATTTTCCTGAGTAAAGACTGGTTAAAACATCACAGAAAATCTGAGACACTGTCTGTAAATCTTCGCTGGAAAGTTGCCTGAATGTTACGATCATTCGGGATATCGCAGACAAAAAGCACTGTATGGTATCCGCGCTCGCTCAAAGAAACTTCTGATTTTTACACGCAAACAAAATGTATTTATGTGGCCCGTCACCCCGGGCAACGGACCCGGGGCAACGGGCATCTTTAACAAATATATATATTGACATGTAAGCGGGCATGCGGGCATTTAAAAAAAAACTCCAATTTCGACCAATCAGATAGATTTATTCAACATACTAAAGAGAGGTATATAATAGTAAATATTTATGTCTGACCAAAATGTATTGTAAAATTCAACTGTTAGCCCATCATTCCCTGGTGATTTATTTTGTTTCATTTCTTTCAGAGCCGCAAAACATTCCCCTTAAACAAATCACACCTTCACAATTTTCTATACTTTCCCTTGCCCAGGGGCGGATCCAGCCGGCGGCTGGATCCGCCACTGCCCTTGCCAATGTAGGTAGATCTTCAAAAACGGACTCCATCAAATGCAATTGTTTCTTCCAAATCTTCCCTAGAGTAAAATTTGGTTTAAAGCGTTTTTATTCGGGCTTAAAATGTCTTTCCCCTTATCATCAATTTTTGCATGCAATCGCCCTCCCCCCTACTCCGTGAACGGAAGGATACCATGCGTTTTACCAAAATGTCCGGTAAAGGGTACTTTTCACGCACCAAAGTCCGTCTCGTATAGTACACATTCCGGCCCGACTTACACACCGGACTTAGGGGGTGTTTTCAAAAGGAGGGAACATGTATATGCGTACCCTAAATAACACTTGTAATATTTTTGTTTTACCCCAATTTATGGAATTATTAAAACAATTATTTAAAAATAATAAATCTAGATAATGGTATACATTCTCAGATTTTATTGAATATTAATTTGACAATGTGTGTTTGCGTGACTGCTAAAGCGTGTGTATGCTTCTATGCTTATTAACTAGGGGACCTACGCCCTTAAGTCATAAATGACAGTAATGAGGATTAATGTCCCACGAAAGGGCACTAATATGGCACATCGGCACGGTTTTGATCCTGGGGCTTTACAGTTACGAGGCCATTGCTTTGTCACTGAACCATGACTGTACGCGGCGGGACTAGGGTAGGGGGCAGTTTCCATAAATAAATAAAAACGAAGAAATTGCAATAATTTTTCAATAATTCATTGCATTTTACCCCGGTTCCCAACATAAACAAACCTTCTGTGTGCACATGCCTTGAACCATAATGCATGGCCGTCCAGAGGATTGTTTAATATACATTCGACTCGGATATCGATCCTTTTGATCGGAGAACGCGGGATTAAGTGTAAACCCACCCATCTAACAAAATGAGAAATTTTGCATTTTGCCCCATTGATATCAATATCCAAATGTTTACATGTTATATTCATAACATTAACAGGATTTCATTGCCATGAGATTAACGGTGGGTGCTGGTAACTATTACATCGGCTTAGAAGACATGGATGTGGATGGACATACAGATGGATTGATGGAACGGCCCCTGGGTATGTATCAACTATCACCGTGATATAAGGCCACTCCTTTTTTTCAATCCATTTTTACCATAACGATATCTTCATTATGATAATGACGTACGTGTACTTTCTAATTATGTGAGGAAATTATTGTGAAACTTTAATCTTTATTCAAATCATTTTTGAGATAAAAAATCTTTTCTGGATCATAATATTTCATAAATAATTAAAAACAGTTGCTGATAAACCACATTTGGATCAAATCTCAGCATTCCAGGACTATTCTGAGTCATGCAAAATCACGAGTCACAAATTCAATTGGCTTACATGTCATATAATGGGACAGTTTTTTGTTGAAAGCCCAATAGATGTAGAGTGCTGAAGCCCATGAAATTTTCATTCTTTACAGCATGAAATTAATGTTGATCCTTAATTCATATTTGATCAGCAACATGCGGAGTGGTATCAGAATGCTCATTTCTATCCTTTTACGCTCCTAAATCACGTTTGATTTGCTGCCTATTATTTTGTGTATGCCAAAAAACACAAAAAAACACTGAAATTAGGTTGCCTCAATAAAAACATACCTTGTATATCCTCAAATCAACCTTTACATTTCACGCCATTAAAGGCATCTTTTCTACCGAAAATGTTTTTCTTGCAGTTATGTATGGTAATGCCATAATCTACAAGTATAAAACTTGTTCTGAACTCAAGGTTTGTGGACGAAAGAAATACAACAAAAACAAACCTCGAGTGCAATACCAAATCTACTTTTTCAATGCATTTACCGATTTTTGTGACAGGCACGTCACATTGATTGACCAGCATATGTGATGTTGTTTTTTTTTTTCTTCCAAAGAGTCATGCTGTAGTAGAGCTATGTCTCAAATAGAAAAGAAAATAATGAAACAAATTATACATAATTCAAATCAGTTCAAGTTTATTTACACATTTGTTTAAAAACAAAGAAATACAAATTATAACATTAAATTATTGTGCATATATAAATATGGAAAGAAACATGTACTACTCCTGATGTGATGGGAAATACAAGCCTATCAAGATAATCATTATTTAGAATAAAAGACACTTTCACTGTAGTAAAGATATCACTTCATCATCGAAATACACGCATGCCGAATATATGAGGGGTTTGGTCGTCCCTGCATGCCAAGGAAAAACTAAAATAATTTTCTCTATTTTTCAAGCGAGCGAGCTCAAATTATCATATTGATCTCTTTAAAATGTTATATCATCATCATCAAAATTCACTTGACAGCTTAATGGTAGCTCAAAACTCGTGGACCTCCCCTCCCCCTCCCTCCCCCCCCCTTCATCCCGCCTCGCATCAGAGCATCGGAGCAGCGGCGTTACGAAGTGTGGACATTGATGGCTTCCTATATGATTATTCTTCAACTGAGGCACACAATAAATGAACTCTCTAGAAGAATATATTCAAAGAATTTATCAAGGTAGACTGACAGAAAGCTCAGATTATGAATCACTATAAATAAGAAGATTTGTAGTTTCGTTTCATACTCTACAAACAGATGTAGGTTGTCCATGGCATGAGTTCGGTGAATCTCAGTATCTTATCATGGAAGAACCGACGGCAACGTTGGACAATGCAACGGAAACGTGTCGGAGTTATGGCGGTGACTTGGCTATGATCAAAACAGCCGAAATTAATGTAAGGTTATACCTGATGCATTTCAACATTTAATTAGTTATTTGAGTTTAAAACTGCCTACTTGCTTGTGGTCCATTAAGAATCTCCCCATAGACAAACAAAGTCTACAAGTCTGAGACCGAAAATTGAAAATATACTGACAACAAGAAATACGTAAGGATGCTTTTTTGAAATAAATAAAACACACGAAAAGTAAGAAACACGTATAAGGAATTATAAAAAAGCTAAGAAATTCCAAAAGATCCAAAAGACTGGCAACCCACGAGACCGACAACGTAAAGAGGTATTATGAGGAAAGTTATACAATGTTAGGCAATTCGTCCGGTGAACCCTCAGCAAGTTGCCAGAAAGCATACGAGTCCCAAACTGGGCTGTGGGCTACCATTAGTAGGTTATTATATCTGTCAAGCCTTGTTTAATAGCGTGAGTCTTTTTCAACTACAGTACACATAATTATAACAAACGAAAGAGTTTACGGGAAAAATAGGATGGCGTTCATGCCCCCCTCCACAATAAAATCCTTTAAAATCTGGTGAATCATATTGCAAAAATTATAAACATATACTAATTAGAAAATGAAGGAGTGGGGAGGGGGTGATCGATTAAACTTACCAGTGTTTATCATGACTTACTTATTCAAATAAAATGAAAATGTTTGTTCTTTTTTGTTTTTCTTTTAATACAGACATTTCTCAAAGAACTACTACCTACATTTAATCAAAGTGATCCATATTTATGTTACTGGTTTGGGCTTCGGAGGAGTGATGTTGGAGATTTCACCTGGCTGGATGGTACTACACTCCGGTATGTGCTTAATGATAAGTTTGCTCTGTCAAGATCTGTCAATATTTAAGACTACATGTTGATCAACCCATATATACGTGTCTAGATTTAATTTGTAGTTATGATTCTACTAAAAACATTTTTCATTTTAATGTATTCAGTGTCTATTAAAAATATAATATACTTTATCAGCATATTTTGTAATATCTATGTTAAAGTGAATATCAAGAAGATGGAATATAGAAGGCACAGCTCAACAATACAAGATCGTGATGTTAAGACCAGATATCTATTGCTCTATTAAATCTATGCATGATACTTACCTACAGTTTACCTACATTATCTGTGTAGCATCATATTCGAGTGATTGGGGGGGGGGGGTGTTGAGGGAAATGTAGATACAGATTTAAATTCAAATTAAGATTAATGATGGATACACGAAAATAAAATAAAAAGGAAAATTACAATAATGATGACAATAATGATACTTGTATATTAATAATAATAATAATAATAATAATAATAATAATAACTTATACATAATTATCATTAATAACCATCATAAAAATCATAATAATGATCATAATACGAACTTAATTTTTATAGTATTTTTACTCCAAGGTATAATGATTGGTATACTGTCACGGAACCAAATAATGCTGACTCCCGGGGTTGTCTTGGTCTACGTGATAGCCCATCATGGTATGACCAGCTTCCATGGCGATCTTCGCCTTACATTTGTGAGCGTACACGAGGTATGACTTCTGATGACCAACATTAACTGTGTTCTGGCTATAGTTGCTCCGGGCCATAATCATTTCAACAAAAATATTGACTTGCAGGGATCATAAGGCATTTAGGGGTTATGGTCGGGGTAAGCGTAAGTTAGGGTAAAGGGCTGAAGTTTGGAATTCGTTTAGTGTAAGGAATTGGCCGCAGAACAATTGTCGCTGGAGCATGTTTCGTACAAGTTGAATTTCAAATTGTGTAATCTTCATTTGGGAACATCATAATGAGATGCCTGGCTGACTTTGTATTCGAGAATTTCACTCACTACAAGAAATGCCACATGGTTTTGTTTCATGGAAGAAAAAAAAATATATTGTTCTTAAATCTTGAGCATTCTTATAGCGACGAAATACACAGTTCAGATACTGGGTGAATAATTTCCCTTTAAGAAATGAAACAAATTGGAAAAGTCCTCTGTTTTCATACTTATTTAGAGACCAGAAATCATTTTGTTCCTTTTTAGTTGAACACTCACAAAGCACAACGTTTATCGTCGATTGCTATAGGCCCACAATGGGCTCTGTAGAATGACACGAATGCCTCCAGTGGGCAGAGAAAAGCAATTACGTTCGTTAAAATCACAATCTATCACATCACGATACACTCTCAAAGGAAAGTCTGTTTTATTACAGTATTTGATGGAAGCAGTGAAGCATCATTTGGAGGTCTAGATTATTTCATCTCACCTTCATGGCTAGCTCGATCCTTCTCAGATGCACGTACCTACTGTCAATATCATGGAGCTGATTTAGCACTCATCAAATCACACGATATCAACGTATGTTCAAGTATATTTACACCTCTCACTCATCAATCAATTTACAAAATGTTATATCGTGAACCGTATTTCATTTTTTTTTTGCTAGTATTTTCTTTTACAGCTTGGAGGTTTACATAGCGATTGAGCTGGCATGTTGATGTAACAATCATGTAAACGCTGTCATCGTCAATCTTCATGGTTGAATCTTTCCAATATCCTAAAAAATAGACTCTGATATACTCCAATGATGTTCTCCGATGACGCATTGTTAAAGCACGTCGATATCATCATATTATAAAGAAACTTTTCTTTTATTTACATTTGTAAAAAGTTAAATGGATGTATTTCAAATATCTGTTCTCATTAATGTTTGTATAAACAGGACAGTAACGGCTAACAGTTCTATCAAAGTAGCTTTAAGCAGGTTGAAATACTTGAATAATAGTCTCTTCAAATGTTATCTACCGTGCGCCAGACAGATTTTTAAGTCTGTAGTTAAAAATACCCAATTTCGGGTTCACAGCAGGTAATCTTTCCTTTTTTCTTTTTTTTGTTTACCTTCGTTCATCTTTTTGAATGTCCTTATAATAATAAAATAAAAACATGTGCAAATATGAAAACATGAAAACCAACTGTTGTTTATGAGGTGATATCATTTTTTCCTTCCAACAGACCTTCCTTCGTGACAGGATTTCGGGATTAAGTAACTATGTATTTTTTGGTTTGACTGACCAAGCTGTAGAAGGCACATTTACATGGATCGATGGAACACCTTTACAGTAGGTTCAATTAATATAGAATGCAAACTTAATCGTTTTTACTTTGGTATGACTGTCAAGCTCGAAATTACTTGTATTACTCTTTACTTATATAATTTGTAAAATTTTAATTTATATTTTCAATTTATTTCTCGATAAATATTAACTCATGAAATCTAAAAAGCAACGTATGCGTAATATTCTTAAGTTTTGATAATGAATGGCAGTGAGTACTATAAGAAAAAAAAAAGCTGCATTTTGCATTTCGTAATACAATGAATTGTGTATGTATGCTTTATATATTATTTCTATCTTCTGTACATATCTAAGTGGTGCATATATTTGTTTTAAATCCGCATAAAAAAATACAATACTCGAAAAGGAATCAAAATTTAGGTAAAAGAGTAGCTAGTGCATACTTTGCTTTTGAATAAATTAATTTCATGATTTCTTTCTCGAGATTTTTCTCGAGATTAAACAGAGTCGTTGAGATCATTACTTTTTGATTGATAGAGTGTTCGTCTAAAAAAAAAAGTTGAGAAACTAAAGATTTAAAAGCCAAGAAATAAGAAAGTGCACCTATATGAAACGAGTTATTGCACTTCAATTGTCAGAACTCCGATGAGATATCTGTCAATAAAATTGTTACAAGAAATGTTTAAGAAAAAAGAATCAAAACGAACCCCTTCCCCCCCCCCCAAACAAACAAAAAAAAGAGGAAAAAGTTAAATAAATAAATAAATAAATAAACCGATATATTTTATTCGGTGGTATAATCGTCTTGTTTGCTCCTGCATGTGTTTGTTTTCCATTATTCTTTCCATTTTACTTCCATTCAATACACACAGATATTCAGCATGGAGGGATCCTGAACCCAACGGCGGTGATAATGAAGATTGTGTCACTCTATCTTCTGATCTTAACTTGGGATGGAATGATATTCCGTGTAATCTCGACCATCCCTTCATATGTGAACGCTATCAGGGTATTAAGTCACTTAACCTAACATGTGTGGTCGTTTCTGTTTCATCGTCCAAATATTTTTTTTTCTTTCAAACTGGCCTGTTAGATTAAACTATAACACTTAATCCACTGCTGTCGACTTGAAGCAAACTCAGTAATGGTCCCCCTACCTCTATTGTTTTAATAAGCGGGTTTTCCCTTGAGGATAAGGCACCCGAATATGCATTTATCTAGTTGCACGGGGTTTGCATCATCGCAAAGGTTGCAAAGATCCCGATGAAAGAAGCTGGAGAGCGAAGCTAAAAGAATTTTTTTTTTCTTTCAAAGTTTGAACCACTTGAATGCGCTATCGATTTTTTTTGTCATATAAACATGTGTCTTAGCTTTACAATGTTTCGCAGTTCACAACCTTTCAAAACTCTTATGCATCATATCCTACATGCTACAAGGAGAGGGATCCGAATCCCAAACGGCATTAATTACGTTCGCCACACTAGACCCAGGTGTAGTAAGTGGGTGATCGGTATAATTAATTTCTTGAATGCGCTGACCCTTGAGAGTTTCGGTTAAAAGCTTATAATACCTAAAATGTTTTGGAAGTGCATATATTCATCTAGCACATGAATGTTGATGAAGGTGCCATGTCGGAGGGTTAATTCGTGGTCTTTTCATCTCTAGTCACATGTTTCTTCAGTTTGATAATAATATATGCAATGACACGCAATGGTTCGAAATACCTTCTTCTTTTCTCATAACACGAAGAACATCTGAAAATGGCAATCCCTTTGTTTTAATCAATATGTAGATGTTCCTGAATATGAGTGGAGTCGCTTTGATGGAACCCTGTACTATATCTCTCAATCCTCGATGACGTCATATACGTTTGCTAGAAGGTTCTGCCAGGCTCAAGGAGGGGATCTTGCCCAGCCTAAAACAGAGGAAATCAATGTAAGGACGCATCGTCATATTAACGAGTTTTCTTCAAAGTATGGGACGTATAAATGAATCGTGAATAAAACTTAAATAGGCATTTAATAGTTTTGTATGTCAAAATAGAAGATTTTTGTTAATAGAAAAGAAAGAAAAGTAGGAAATCTGTTAGGTTGTGTAAAAACAATCGGAAAACGATGTAAAAGGTAGTAGAACAGCATGATGTCGTCATGATTTCAACTAGTTCAACTTCCATTGATGCCATGGAATATAAACATATCGATAAACTCATCCCACTATCAAGATCATTGCGCATTAGAAATAATCATCGGTGACTTTCTCTTTCTGATATATTTTCTCAACGCACTCACCAGATGCATCTCATGAAGCTGGCTGGAGGAAACTCGTATTGGTTTGGACTCGATGATAGCAGTCCAGAGGGCACGTTCCAATGGATTGATCGCACTTCACTCGACAATAATGAGTATGTGTTAAATTGTATTATTCATACACACAGCAGCAGTATCTTAAATAAAAATTGTGATTATATCATTTTACAGAGAGAGTGCAATAGGTAGAAAATGGTATGTAACTTTAAAAGCACGAGTATCTGAGGTACAAGTTGATATCCATCAAGCCGAGGAAGGCTTTCTCTGATGGATCGATGGCATCCCCCTCCCTTGAATAAGTTGAAAATAACATGTTTGTTAAATATTTCTGTTTTTTGTGGACGTCACAAAGCCTAAAATACAAGCCATAGTCATGATTTGCAAGAAAAGCAAATTTACATTTACAGTTGGATTAATTTACATTTTAACTGCAGCTCGAATCAAAACCCTGACATACCGCTTTCAAACAAAGAAACGATTATGCCCTTTAAAGTAAAATATTTATGTTATTAATAATTTAGTTATACATTGCTGTTCGACATATCTTATCTTTTCAGATTTCCTGCTTGGTCGAATGGTGATGCAACCCTATTTGAGAGTGAACGATGTGTTCATCAACAGGTTAATAATGGATGGAGAAAACTACCGTGTACATCCTACCTCAGGTTCGCATGTGAAAAAGCTCCGAGTGAGTATTGGCATAATTTTGTTGTCCTTTATATTTTGGAGAACTCCTTTATAATAGTCCGTGTTAAAAAATATCTGTTTTAAATGCAACAAACGAAAAAACATATCGATTGGTGACATTCTAATATTTTGGAACAACTGTTACGAATCCAAAGTTGGTTTCCACTTTAAATAGAATTTCACCCATTGTAAATCCATGCTTGTACCGTCGTCTCAAGGCAGAAAGTGGAAATAAGATTATCATATCATATAGAATATGTAACTTGCCTATTAAACGTTCCTAGTTAGTTGTTCAGGCTTTATCTACAGTCGATAGTTCGAGGGAGTTCTGGAGACGTGACGTCATACATCATCATATACCATTTAGATTGTGTTTCCAAAGGCCGATATTCTATATACCATTCCGTTTTAGAAGTGGAGGTAGCTTTGTATATAGTATGAAATAGTATTAAGTACATTTATGAAAATCAGTTTGCATGTATCAACAAGGACTAAATGTTATCATAACGTATACGCAACATAGGGTTGAAGTGTGAGATAAGTCATTGCCTTGTCACCGTTGTGCATTTCCCCCTTAGTTCTTCTTCACCAGCAATGCTAGGCGGACACTAATCACTTGAAAAATATAACAATTTTCTCATAGGTCCACGCCCCATCCTTCCCATACGCATAATAGCAGCTACTCCATCACCCTACGGAGGAGGTCTGCTGGATGCGTCATTTATCTGTCAACTCGGCTCAGAGAATGAAGAGATTCTCACATTGTCCACCAGAAGACTCGTCCGTCTGACCGAGGCTAAAACTTTCGATAGTTACACAGCTCCAGGATACAGCAATGTTGTACCATCTGTAGTATTAAGGCATACTCTTCCAGCTACTATGGAGGGCTTGGGATTCTTCGAGTGTTCAGCGGTGACAGCCAGTAGAATGACATCTGTTCCTCTTGCCATTCTTCTTTCTACCCGTAAGTTTCTCTGACGTTTCTTCTTTTCAAATCAGTATAGAGTAAAGCATATTGTCATGATTAAGCTCGTATGTTCTTAGCTGATAACAACGAAATAAAACAGGTGTCGGTGGTAAAGTGAAAACTGGTTTCCCTTTTTAAAATGTTAGAGATTACTTTGTAAATTTGTATGAAATTGTGAACAAACTGGATTTCCAATGAACAATAAAATTGAAATATGACATGGAATTAAAATTATATTATCCCAGGGAAAGTTTAGACTTCGTGAAAAGCACATACAACGCAATAGGAAAGAAAGAGAGAGGAAGAGAGAGAAATGCTGTTTATAGGTGGAAAGGTTACTACTAATTTACAATTGAAGAAGAAAAAAAAAAAAATTGGGAGTAAATAATTAAATTTGTATTCGTAGGTGAATTGCAACCCATTGATGGTCGGTTTACAAAGACAGTACGCGTTGGAGATAATATCACACTCAGTGTGATGAGCACGACAGGGATGGTAGGTGAAGGCGGTATAAGATGGCGGAAATTCACTGATGTAGACTGGGCTGATTCACTCATTGGAATGAGTTCTGGTAGTCTATCACACACAATCCAATCTGCATCTATCTCAGACGCCGGTGTGTATGTGACTTACGAGGATGGAACGTGGGAACAACATCAATCCAGCTTCATAAGACTCATCGTGAAGGGTTCGCTCTTTTACTTCACTCTTTAATGTTGAAATATCCTACTAGAATATTGTGTAAATGTACCTTATATAAGAGTACTTATGTAATCCTGTCTACTTTAGGCAATCATGTGCCCAATCGAATGATGTCATTTCCAATTTTAATGTCCTCTGTTGCTAATTATTTAGGTAAAATATTTATAATTTTTTATCAAAATGCCCAACACCATTTTACTCAAGGGTGAGTGCGCATTAAAATGTTTCATAATTCCTTTGCAGTTCTGTTCGAGAATGCAATACAGGTTTAATAGTAAACTTTAAACAGTATTGATTACAAATTACATGTTTTTAAACACCTCATTAAATAACTTATTATCTATTCATTCAATGTTTTGGTACAGGGGGTCCCTTAAAGGAAGAACCCCTCCACGCATTTTTAGAAAGCTTTTTATTACATTTTCTATGTATCCATGCTTCAATGAAATATAGTTTACTTCAAAAGAGAGTTGTTGATACTATATGTCCAGTGTAATTCATACCGAAATATGACATATCTCTATTCTTTCTATAAACAGAATGTCCTTATGGCCGATGGAATCCACCATTGTGCGATATTTTGTGTGATAGCTGTTATAATGGAGGTGTATGCCACGAACTCTCAGGAACATGCATTTGTCCTCCAGGATTTGCTGGAAAGAACTGCCTTCAAGGTATAATGATGATATACAAATAATATTCATCAATGTGGACATTAGAAGTGGACGTAAGAATGATCCACATTGACTGTCTTTTGGAACAGTCCTGATATCTGAGGCGAAAGGCGATAGGAGATGATGTTGGACTTTAGAAAGATGCAAATGGTCATCATCCGAGCTGCAATTGGCGATTGAATGTTATAGCAATTAAAAATATTTATTCAAGAGTAACTAAAATTTTCATTTAAAAAACATGATTTAAGTGAGTTTCCTAATTAAATAAAATGTCACAATATTTCTCTTCAGCTTGTGGAATGCATCGGTTTGGCTGGGACTGTGAATTAGAATGTGGTCCCGGTGAGCCTCTTGACCAGTGTACTGAAAATCAGATCTGTCTACCTGATCCTTATGGATGCACCTGTTTAGCTGGATATACAGGAATCTACTGCGATGAAAGTAAGTGTTTAATCGGTGACGATTACAACTGAATTTTAGTTTTAAAGAAGCTATTTTATGATTCCAATTGCTGATAGGGACAGTATTCATCATAGTAATCTGAAAACAAATGGTATAGCTTGTCGTTACCTCTTTCACTCTAGAAAATAGTGTGTGTGTGTGTGTGTGTGTGTGGGGGGGGGGGTGGGGCTGATATATCGTCAGGAACCTTCATGGAAAATAAAGAAGTGACATATATTACTGCTGAAACTAATTTTGAGATTGCCAATAGGTGTAAGTTCCTTGCATGTTCAACAAGTCTGTATATACCCCATCTGTTTCGTCCTAAAGCATGTTTGGTTGGTATGTTTGGAGCTGATTGTCTTCAAGAATGTCACTGCACTAATGGAGCAGATTGTGATGACATCACTGGTGAATGTCCCGGAGACTGCTCGCAAGGATGGTCTGGAGCAGCATGTCAAGGTACAATCATTTACTTTACTTTTTATTATATTATTGAATTTTTGAAAGTAAGGATACATCGGGATGACACAACGCTCCCATTGCATTGTCTAGAATCCTATACGTTCATCAGCATGAGAAAAAGGTTTCATGGTCCTCATTTATGTATATAGGTTACGATCATGACCAATGGGTACCAGATAAACTAGCACTGCCTGATATGCTTGAGTTACTTTGATGGCTCGGCTATGACCATGAAAACCAGAGCGATAATGTCAAAACGCCATGAGCGATGAGCCCTCTATCTAAGAAGCTATTATTATTGATTCACAATTATGATTTCTCTTTATATTCCTTCACAACTAGTTCCGTCTGTTTGTCATATCGGCTACTTTGGAGCTGACTGCACGCAGAAATGTAACTGCAGAGATTCCACATCATGCGAAAAGGAGTCTGGATTTTGTGCCGAAGTTGGAGGAATATGTGACATTGGATACCTTTCTGATTCTGTTGATTTCCCATCAAGCTGTTTAAAATGTAACATTATTCTTGCTTTATAACTTTAATATTTTGAAATCAATTCACACAGCAAACACGATACAACTGACAACGTTCATGGATTGACCAAAAGATCGAAAATGTCTTGATTATTTCGGCGATATTTTTCGTAGAGAAGTCAGGCTTTCATTATGTTTTCTTTTTAACAATATAAACGCCAAAGGATTGCGCTTAAATAAAGACTGAAAATAACGAGGTGAGAATGATGGGGCTTTGGGAGAAGGGGGCTGCTGCCTTTTCTCTCCTGTGAATCTTTAAATTCCTAATATTCGGGTCCCCAATTAATAGCGAGACTTATTTTTGAGAGAGAAATATTTAACATCATTAACAGGAATTAATTTGCTGGCTATGCGAAATTTTGTAAACATGGAAAGCTGTATTCGGGCAAGATGCTCTAACGTATATTTATAAAAGTTTTTTTTGTCACAGAGGATATTTGTTCATAATACTTAATGCAAGAAGATATTACCCTTCTATTAAAATGGTAAAAGTATCAAATTTTTGTTTTGAGCAAAACTAACACATATATGCACTGGTAACTTTTATATTGATTTTGAAAGAAATAAACCACTTAGTCTGAACTGTTATAATGTAATTTTTTCCCGACACACTTCATTTCTCGTGTAGTTTCTGGATGCTACAGCTCTTGTTCAAAGACATGTCATTGTTCTGGTGGTGCTGAGGATTGTAACTTTCTGACTGGTGATTGTTTGCCTTCCATGTGTCATCCAAGATGGATAGGGGATCATTGCCAAACAGGTACGATAATATTGCCCTCTTCTGTGTTTTAAAGAATATGCTGTAAAATAATATTTAAAGACATAACACTTTTATAAGCCACACGTTGTCAATAACTTTAGCTGAGGCAGCCCTCATCAGCACACTGTTCGTTTTTAGGAATCAATCTAGGCCTTTTGAGAAGACTGAGAAGTGCACATAGTGTATATCGAGCCAGATGCTGGCATTAATGGTTCAAGAGGGAGCTGGAGTGGGGGTTCTCAACTCCCATCCCTACAAAAGTCTTCAAGCCCCCCCCCCCCCACTTTTTCGCGAGATGAATACAGAAAATGAATGCAAGAATCCCAAGCACGGAAGCCCCAGCCACTCCTCCCTCAAAAGTTTTTTTTTCTTTTCAGAACCGCTCCTGGCTGGATGGCGGGATTCGAACCGTAAACCATTTGATATTTCACAGTCCCGTGATTTACCTTCTAGCCCTCGTCACGACACAAGCCCACGTCGAAAACAAGCTGATGGGGATGACCATTTCTTTCTGTTCTTTCACCAAATTTTAGATCGCTTTGAGACGAGCTCGAGGAAGACCAACCCAGGAGTGGCGATCTTTTCTTGTTCATTCACGGCGTCACCAGGGCAAGCTCTCAGCCCCGCGGACATCAAAGCTGCTCTTGGGGACTTTTCTGCAGCGAGCTGGATTTCACAAAGCAGCTCTATATACATAGATAAAACCCTCAACAATTCATTTACTCACGTCAATATGGGACCAGAGAAAGCGATTTACTGCTTCGTCGGAGATCCTGAAATCCCTTCAGAGTTCATGTTCACAAGGCTACCTCCAAGGCAATTCTTTGGTAAGCAATAAGCATTTCCTACTGCATAAATGCCCTGTACAAGTTTACATTGCTTCGTTTAGCGGTTCTTGTACAAATTTGATGAACAATCTGCAAAGCGCTCTAGCTGGGAGTAAAGTTGCTAAAGACTAAAGACTAAAGTTACTCTGCGGAGTGGGTGAGAAAGGATCATTTTCTTTATGTTCCTAAAATCAAACAAATGCTTGTAGAACTATGCAAAATGCAAAAGTTTGAAAAAAATTGTAGTCATTCATTTCTTGAGATGTTGACTCAGGGTTTTCATTCAACATGTACAATCGAGAATGATTGTGGTCCTGTTATGGTGTTAAAAAAAATTATATATTCTTGACGCAATCCGTGTTCCTAAAAAAAATTCTTCATTGATAAAAAATTCGCGCGCTCGTTAATACAAAGTAATTTTTTCAAAAGGTATCATGATTTTTAGTTCTAGCTATTTAAATAATTGATTCTATTTTTTTGGGGTGGGTAGTAAAAATAAATATCCATGGGACAAGTAAATCTACTTTAATATAGGGCAATATCCCTCTTTCCTTCAGAGAATTAACTTGCCTCTTTCAAAGGATCCCTTAAATCATATTATACTTCTTCCCTAAGAAAATTAATACGATTTACCCATTTGTATTTGTCTAAGGCTATTGTACTCTTTGTTTTTAGCGCTTTGAAATTATCTATTTCATTTTTTATTATCATCAGTATTATTATTGCTATTGTAATTATTACTATTTGTGTTATTAAATTTTACCTTGTGTTTGTCTTGACGCTCACTTATGAAGCGTTACCAAGTTTTAATGGTGTACCAGAAGTACTTGAATTTGGATACTACCACGCAGCCATCGGTTGGAGACAATGGGACTCTAGCTCTGATACCGGGGAAGGACCAATTGTAGGGTACAAGATATACGTGCGATCAGGTAGCAATGTCGTGCTGGCTAAAGAAGTACAACCCCCAAGCATGGTGAACAATACGGACCGTTCCGTATCGAAGAGGTCTGCTGAGAATGCCAGTGAGATGGTCATGTATAACGTCAGTGGACTTGAAGCAGGATCAACGTACTCTGTCCAGATTGCAGCGATACGAGATAGTATCAACGGTGAAGGAGAACAAGGACTAGCATTGACATTTACAACTGAAAGTGGTAGGGTCTATCATTTATTTTCCCCTGCCTTCTGAGCCCGCTCCTCTCATCTTTTTATACGCGTTATTTGACGACCCATATTCTAGAAATATATAAAATATCATGAACTAAATTAAAAAAAAAGAAAAATTAAGAATGTAGAAATTGGTAATTACAATGTCAATATATTTTACATTAATTGAACAATAATCACACACCCACACATACACACACCCTGTGGAGCGCTCACACACACAAACACACACGTACACACACAACTTTCCATACGTATTAAATGTCTAGCTGTGAGCAACCTACCGTACTGGGACCGGTCTGTTTGCATGCCGTTACAATCAATTATGATCACATGGTAGTATCGGATTTATTCATCATTCATTTATCAACTCTGATGCTACCTTGGTATTTCTAATCTAGTATCTGATTCATTTATCATTTATCTATTTAAACTCGGATGCTTTCTTGGTATTTCTAACTCCAGTCATTCATTTTCACTAACCTCTTCATCTACTACTTCTTCTCCACCAAATTCAACTTCAGCTGGAGGTTCTTCAAGTTCCATAGCAACTGTCGTAGGAAGCGCTGTTGGTGCTATTTTTGTGATTGTTATCGCTATAATTCTCATCATCATCATCATCTTTTACAAGCGAAGAAGGTTAGAGAGATACTTTGTATTTAAGTTGTCCCTCTCATCAGTTCATTCTCATCGAACTCCTCCATGCATGATGCTAAAACAGTATGATCATGAAAATACAAGAGGAATTATGATTTTATAAAAATAAAAGAAATCTATAAAGTTATTTCATTAATTTCTTCTCCTTTAGACATGCTATTCACTGTAAATATTCTAAAACATGATTTGTTTTAAAATGTTATGGTAACCCATTTAAAAAACTTGTTATGTTAATGACATGCATTATAAAGTTACCGTACAAATTCCCATATTTCATGTTGACATGTTTATAACCTATGTAATTTTTCAAATGTTTTTTTTTTTATTGAATGCAATTTATCTATGCTTTCATAATATTAACTTTCAGCAATGAATCAGCCACTACTAAGTCTAAAGGGAAGGAGTCCGATTCGTCTCCGCAGTATGGGAACCCTGTATTTGATCAGTCACAGACAGACGTTCATACCTACCAAGATATCAGTGCCGATGTTAATGCCTATCAGGATCTGAATAAACCTGATCAAGAAGCTAACTACGAAGCATTGAATGACGCCATAACGAGAGATTATTCTGATGTTATTCTACAAGTCAGTAATAGAAAGTGTAATGCTTTTTAGTTGTGCGGTTTGGTACGGTGGGTGCAGAAAGGATAACCTTAAGAAACTGCAGAGAATATCCAATCAAGCTAGCAAGATGACTGGCAAAGTGACAGATCTGAAACAGGAATGCGTGTGTACAATACTGAAACAGGTATCCCAGATTTTGGAAAATGCTAACCACCCCCTTCATCACTGCTATACCCTAATGCGATCGGGGAAGCGGTACAGATCAATGAAGGCTCGAACCTCACGATTCCTTAATTCCTTTGTCCCGCTTTCCATTCGTAAATACAATGAACAACTCCAGTCAATTTGAATAAGCCTGTATCTTGCCACTTCGCTAGTCATCAATTTGCATTGTACCCTTTCCTTTCCTTTTCAACCGAATGTACCAGTATCACGAGCAAATAAATAATGAATACCCTATGATGCCATATGTTATTCCAAGTTGTAGTTATATACCGTTTAATTTATGAAGGAAAGAAAGAAGAAAGGATTCAGCTCTAAAACCGTGACAAAGAATGATACATGCAATAAATACTGTTGATAATGATGATAATAATAATAATAATAATAATAATAATAATAATAAAAGTAACAATAATAATTATGATAACGATAATAATGATGATGATAATAATGATAAAAATAATAATAATAAAATATAACAACAATACTACTTCCAAATTCTACGCAATCGTACATTTTCAATAGTGTTGGAAGTCCATTTATTTATATATTCTACTTTTCTTATATAATTCCACTATGTAAAAACGACTTAATGTTTTCATATGAATTTGTCATTGTACATGTTTCCATATGAATTTGTCATTGTACATGTTTCCATATGAATTTGTAATTTGTCATTGTACATTTGCTACTGTATATTATCTATTTGTGTATATTATTTTCTATTGTATATTGTTCATGTGCCTATGTAACGCCAACAAATGAATTTCCAAATGGACCAATAAAATTAATCTGAATCTGAATCTGAATGAATCTTAACGTGAAAGACGTTTAAACAGTACTATGATTGAGAATTAAGTAGTATTATTGTGCTGCTCAAGAATTGAGTGAATGAGATGAAAAAAGACCCTTGTCCATCACAATAATTATAGTTATCAAGACAAACAAATAATTTTCATAATTTTGAGAGACAGAATTTTTTCAGTCTTAATTGATTACATATAATTAATGTCCAAATATCAATCATTCCGTGGATATGAAACCATGCTTTAAAATCGTGAAATATCGTGAAATTATCTTGATAACTGAAAAAAAATATGATGATATACTTGGGAATTAGAATACAAGAATGAAGAGTCGTCAAAAGCTATCCTGGCTTTCCCTCCTCCATCGTGTGCTCCTCCTCCTTAGTGTTTTCATCTACCATATCTAGGCTACTCGCGTTATTCCCAAATCTCTTGATATCGCAGATCAGTAGAAAGATTTCCTTTTGAAATACCATGATTTACAGAAGTCTTACAAATTTCGGTAAAAATAGTTGTATTCCACCAGACTTTACCTGAGGTCTCACCACTATACATGAAAGTCAGGGTATGGGATTAGTTTCTTGAAATGGGTTTATATATACTAATATTCCTTCATTGAAGTTTGTTTCCTACAGCACTGTCATTTTCTGAATAATGTGATTGATGTATAACAGAATTGTTACACCATGGAGCAACAAAATATGATATTTTTTCGAAAACATCAAAACGTTTGGGTCACTGAACAGCGCTTGTTTTATTAGCGACAAACTTTCTATGGAGGATGACGTGACGATTTTTTTTTGTTACATCATAATACATAATACGACAAAGGCTATGTTCTTTCGAGTAAAGCTAACAAATTACAATTTCATTATGATTGACTATTATGTTTTATTTTTAAAAGTAGTAGATTTAGTGTTGTTTTCAGCTCGTTTTCTTTGTATAATCAACGGGTCGGCCGACAGAGCTATATTACCATGTCACAATTTGGCATACCGCCCTCTTCTTATTTTTAGTTTGAGAAAGTCCTTTTTATATGATATTTTTTTAATTTTCCAACCATCTTAGACTAGTTTTGATTTATCAATGTTAACCCCACGTCTCCAAGATGTAAGACCATCACATCTTTGCCGAGCGAAAGATTTTTTTGTGAGACGATTCAGTTTGAAATCTGTGTTGCCTATAGTCTCTGTCAAGGTCCACGCACTTAATACAACGCACAGTGGTGGCGCGATACCGGCTGCACATACGGGATACGTAATCTCCTGTGTGCACAGAGCATGACTGATGCATTTTCTTCAATTCCAATAGGGTCCATTTAGCTCCAAACATTTCGATATGATACATATTTTCTATGTGCAGAGGTATCTGTGGCGAATGATTTTAGAATCTCATTTTTAATGGATTTCCCGGCCAAATTCGCGAGTTTGTCATTCAAATTAATTTGTCTTGCGTTCAAATTCGACGGTTTTAGTGCAGTCAGGTATATCTCGGGTTTATATTCCTTTTTCTAGTTTTCAAATCTATGGAATTTTCGTTAGAATCTACGTATGTTTCATTCAAATTAATGAACAATGTGCTTCTTTCGCTATTTGGCAATTCGATTTGGCGCAACACGATTTTCTGACAACGCGACGATGTACTTTTAGCATTCTAATTCATTTGTAGCATTCAAATTAGCACTTTGTGCACTAAAATTAATGGTCAATATACATTTCTCGTTTTTTAAACACTTTTTATAGCTCATTCTTTTTCTTTCAAGATCTTTTTTTCATGTGTATTTCATCCTATTTTATTTTCTTGCATTTATACTCTTTATATACTTTTAAATTTATCAGATATTCATCAGCCTTTAAGTTTGATTGTTAAGAAGAAAAAAACGACTTGCATCTACGGACCTGATGGTCTCAATATATTTGTAAAGGTTCATGTAAGGAAGTTGTTTGTCTTATATTTCATCATAGAGTTATCATAATTTCATTATGGAAGAAGGGTACAATATTGTGACTAGGGTAGGGACTAGAGTCAACAATTTGAACATGAGTCATTATTTAGCCAAGTCTTTAGCCATCGATCTGCTGGCGGGCAAGTAAATTATGAAACTCTTTAAGAAAAACAGAGGGGTGTGCTGGGTATAAGAGACGATGTGAATTACTTTTGTAAAATTCCGAGTCTGTAGTAAAAAGGGGCGATTGAAGGTACCCCCACCTTTCCCTGAAATATGAACATGTCCGTGCAGAAATACCATATCCCTTGATTTCGCCCCTTCTTTACTTTATGTCTGACTACACCAATCTGCATTGTCCTGAAAATGAATAAATGGAATAACAGCTTAGACCCCAATGGCAAATCATGCATTTTAACTGCATTATTTAAAAACTGTAAAAGTTTGTTGCAATTCTTCCCCCTAACATTCCTAACTTGAATAAAAATATTACGAATACGAATGACAGGTGTTAATTTGAATGATAAAAATTACGCTTCGACAAGTGAATATTAATTTGAATGCTAGTTGAGCAGTTTCTAAATTGAATGACAGATCTATGAAACCCTTCGACCAAAATCCAAAATGCAAAGTAAATGAATTCGAATGACAAACACGCGAATTTGGCCGGGAAATCCTATATAAGATATGTTTTGAATGATTCGATGCAGGTACAATTACAAAGTAAGATTTATTGAGTCTTGTATATATATATGTATAAACTACGAAGGCATATTCCATCATGTTAATCGTGTTTTGAGATATCAGTAGACAAAAAATATTATATAATACTGTACTTTTTGTCTGTATTGATTACTAGTGTTGTCGCCTGCTATTGCTGTTGGAAATAATTATTCAGCACTTGTAGACAAGAATAAATACATTCTTGTTATAATTTGTTATTATTCTTATTATTATCATTCTTGCTACTGCTACTACTGATAATAATACATGTACTACCACTATGCTACTAATACTCCTCCTCCTACTACTACGACTACTGGTATTACTACTACTACTACTACTACTACTACTACTACTACTAATACTAATAATAATAATAATACTACCATGACTGCTAGTATTACTATTACGAGTACTACTAATACGACTTACTACTAATACTACTTCTACTAAACAGTGGAATTCAATTTGATTAATATGTCAACGATAATGTGTTAGGATTTGAACGATGAATTGTAAATATGAACATGTAAGTTGCGAACATAAACACAGACTATGCACAATAAAACCAATGTGAAAATATTATGTTATGTAGATGTAAGCGTGGATGTTTAGGTAAGAAATTAAATAGTAAATTAGAAGTTAATTGGTAGAATTATATAATACAAATCAAGTCAGCATAAATATATTACCATATGAGCATATGTAACATGAAAGAAGTATAAACAATAAAGAATGCAAGCGCAAAAAAGACTTACTTGTTTTGTGTAAACTCGTCAATTTGCACTTTGAACGTTTCTTAATAAACGTTATCCATCCAATTATTAAAGCAGTTTGGATTTTGGCACACTGAGCTAACATATTGTATCAAGACAGGGCCCTGTATTATAAAGATTTGATTTAAAGATGTTTAATTTGATATTGTTTACGATGAAAATTTGAAGACCCCGCGTCATCCCACGTCATTTGAAGACATCCATCCCTTCATATATGTACCTGCATTCAACCTAACCTGACTTAGAAAAGATTGTCCCAAACTACGACGATATGCTGGTTTGAGCCCCAAATTAAATCTGAAACAGTCATTCCCAGACAAAAACTTTCGGCATTAGACACATATGAGATTAAAGTACAGGTTCTAAGCTTTAAAATGGTGTAAGACAATATTCAGCTGTAATATATTATATTGGATAGTTTTAAAAGATTTCGAATCTAAAAACGCATTTTGGCCATAATTGTTGATGTATTGTGCGGATAAGTCCTTCGATATGTCGCTTTGAGCCCTAAATTCAATCTAAAACAATAAAACCCAGACACGTATTTTTGGCATGTGGCAAATAATTATGAGAGTAAATAGCAGGTTTTAAGCTTTAAAATGGTGTAAGACGTTATTTAGCTGTTATGTCACACAAAATGTAAAATGTATCTCTTTCTCTCTCTATATATATATTTATCTCTCTCTCTATATATATATATATATATATATACATATCTCTCTCTATATCTTTTTTCTCTCTCTCTCTCTCTCTCTCCCTAGGTATATATATATATATATATATATATATATATACATATATATATATATATCTCTCTCTATATAAATATATATCTTTCTCTCTCCCTCAATGTAACATACATGCTTAGAATAGAAGCAATCGAGCGGAGAATGATTCATCTTCGGAAAGCTTTTACAGAGGTCTAAAAAAGTGAAACTTATATATAAAAAACATCTAAAACAAATAAAAAAATACAACTACAAAAAAAGACGATACACACACAACAACAAAAACGAGCGCCAGGGACCAAAATACAGTATGTTACAACTCTTTCTCTCTTTTTC